TATGGTTTTACAATCTCTTCTTCAGGGTCCTTTTCACTTCTGCAAACACAGAACTCAAGGTGAAAAGTAATTGGACAAGCTAACAAATGAGTTCGGGTTTGCTGTATTTCCCACTGGCGAGTTCCTGTGTTTTGCTTGCCACCAAGATCAGCTTCTTTGACATGGCCTTTCATGTACCAGCTAACAACAAATGGAAATCCGCCACAGGTATGAGAAAAGAGAGGCTTTATACAGGACAGACACTAAACCGGCATGATTTATATAGGCTGAGGATGGTGCTTTACATTACATCAGTCTTCCAGGAGTGCCATGATCCCAGCAGCATCTTTTGGGGATATTTGGTGCAAACTTGCTCTGCAGACTGCAGGGTTTTATTGCAGACAGAACCCCCTCCGTGTGCACTGCACTCTGCAACGGCTTTGGGTGTGAAGTGAGGCGTTCCTGAGCAGGCTTTCCTGGCTCTTACCCCGGGGTGATGGTAGCCCCACTGGCCACTGTGTCCTCCAGCAGTGCCCTGTGAGCCCGGGGAGGTGCAGAACCACACGCATGGCTCTGAGCGAAGCCACCAGCAGGATGAAGCTCCGTATCCCCTGTCTCATCCTCCACTGCCTCATGTCATCCCCTGGTGATGGATGATAAATGACAGCTGTGGCTGGATGTCTGTTGGGACAGAGGAAGCCACTTGCTGGGCTGTGGAAGGGACCTGCCCTTCTTTCCTAAGGCTGGGTGGGTGGAAGCATCATCCTCTCCCACAAAGCACCTGCTGCTACCACCGCTGTGTCGGCAGCCTTGTAATGCATTGGGGTGAAAGGGGGTGATTAAATTTTACTCGTAATTTCCCCATCAGAAGTGGCAGTACTGCCATGGTGGTGGGGTTGTGGAGACAGTGCTGGCTGGGTGATACTAGCCCTGACTGCTCCAGTCCCTGAGAAGCCATGCATCGGGGACACGCTCCGCACCTGAGATGGCTTTTGCTCCTTGCCATGACTTTTCAGTGACTTAGCGTTCACGTGGCTGCTCCTGCAAGGTAAAGCCAGGTAAATGGTATCTGAGAGCTTTGCCAGCTGGTTCTCTTGCCCTGTCCTCACCTTACTCTGTAAATTAAGAGGCAAAGATCACCCCAGCTCTTGCTACCGTCTCCCACTGTTGGCTTGCAGGAAGGAAGGCTGATTTAATTTGGATGCCAGGACAGGCAGCCTGTGGTTCCTGCACATTCGGCCAGGCAGGTATTGCCACGGAAAGGTGCCTTGGGATCTAAGCTGCACATCTTGTTACCATAAATGGTTTCTGTGTGGTAATATACAGCATCTTTATTCTTTTCATGTCAGCTGAATAACGTAAATGACAGGTCTCGCTTTTCAATTCCACCGTGTTTCCAGGGGCTGTCACACTTTTAATTTTCGCAATAGCTGCAAGCAAAGCAGTAATTGTGTTTCCTATTTCCCACAACTGTGGTGCTGGCTTTGTTGTTCCCTCTTCTTAATTCCTCTGCCCTGACTTGAGCTATTTGATGTTTTCTGAAGCTCCCCACAACACTGCTGTTAAAGTTATCTAACGTTTGATGGCTAAACAGCCCCCTGCAAGAAATACACTCTGGGTGGCGTGTGGCAGAGCAGGGCAGGAGAGGTGCATTTAGATCTGCGGGGTGTGATGCTGATCACTGAAGACATCTGGGCAGGGTGAAGCTGTACTTGTCAGTGCTTCATGCGCCTGTCCAAACTGGCAGGGCTTGCATGCTGAAGTGTGCACAGCTATGTGACACGTTGTGTGTGCTGGTTTCTGCCCAGCGATGGGACAGCTTTTGAAAGGCTGCTCCATTAAAGCCTACGGATGTTTCTGAGGTCCAGAATGACTTAAGTGGAAGTAATTTTGGGAATGTGATTTTGCATTTGCTTCAGTGCATTTGAAAGGTCTGCTCAGGACTATGACAAAACCTTCAGCCTATGAACAGCAGCTCAGGAAGGTTTTGTCTCCCAACTGTTTGAGGCCTTAGGTTGGATTCTCTGATGTGTTGTAAAGCGTAGGTCTAGCTGACACTTTCCCTGCAGGTTGCATGCTCATCATGGCCTTCGTTGTGGATTCTCCAGTGGATGGAAGGGTTTGATTCAGATGTGCTACTCCTGTTTTCTCCTCTAACTGGCTACACTCAGTACCTTAGAGGTCTCTGACCCTCAGTTCTGTGTGTGGGAGCTGGTGATGTAGATCAAATGCTGTCACTCAAGTGTGTGCTGTGATGCTGTACACCGTTGTGCTTTGGCAAAGCAGACTCACAGGGCCTGGGCTTAAGGTTTCAGGCTGCAAAGGAGAAAGACTTATGTTGCCTCTGAAGTTTGTCACAGTTCCCTGTGAGCAAGCCCCAGCCCAGCCAGCTAAGGCTTTTGAGACCACAACCCTCCCACCTGGACTGACAAACAAGTGTGACTGATTATCCCCTGTAAAACTGATAACACTGGTTGCAGCAGGTGAAGGCTGTTTGCTGAAGGTCACTCAGACCTGCTGTAAGGCATTGCTGAGAGACCACACAAGACGAGAACAGGGAGCAATTGCAGTCTCGTGGCTTAATAAGTGACCACTGGGAAGTTGGGATGTGGTTGAGGATGCTGCACAGAAGGGTGCTCTCGTTTGTAAAGCCAGTGGTTGGGATATGAACTTTTTGTTTTCATCTACTCCAGCCTCTACCCCGGGTTGTCCCCATAGCTGGGAAGCAGAACAGAATGTGTCCCACCCTCAGCCTCTTCCAGTTCATCATCTGCTGTCCAAACCCATCCTTACTGATGGGTGAAGTCAATACAACAGCTCCTGGACTGCAGTGAGAGGGATGTGGATCCATATGTCCCTTCTCCCAAGGTGGATGCTGCAAGAGTGGGACATATATGAGCATTTTGTTTTACTTCTCATATCAGGGGCTTCTCTTCCTGGAAGTTCCTCCAAGTCAGAGCAGGAGAGGGGCATTGGCAGGAATCTTGTGGGCTTTAAATGCTCTGCTCCATAGTATGACATCCTGTAGTTTTAGGGCTAAAGTGAAAGCCCTCTTCCAGTGGGAGAAGGTAATTGAAACCACATTTTCTTAGCTGAGTAATTAGATTGATTCTGGAAAAACACGGACATGTGGAAAATTGAAAAATGGAAGAGTTGTGTGCCCTTAGGCTGCAGAGGAATGTGTTGATGCCTTTCCGAGGAACACTGGCTCAATCTATTGAATTACAGGACACACTGAAACCAGCTCAAGCACGATGTAAGTCCAAGCCCTGACCAGAGGAAGCTCAGGGAGAGAGGGGTCCCTTTCCTGCTGTGCTGATCTGGCATACGTATCTTTTTCCCCAGAACTTCTCATTGAATTCTGTAGAGCTCAGTGCAGCAAAAGGATGCATGCATGTGAATTCAGTTAAAGGATTAGGAGAAAAAACTCTTCACGTAATTATACACTCATGGAAATTTTAATTGAATGGTACATTCAACGGGACCGACTCACAGATCACACAGTTATAGGGAAGCTGTTAAGACTCTGCCTGCGTGTATTTCATTCGAGTGTTTTGACCTTGGACGTTTAGTGGAAAGTATTTTATATGTTACAGATGTAACAATGGGCTTCATTCCCTAGATTAAACCAGTCATACCTACTGTTTTTTTATTCTTGTACATTATAACATCTGAGAACTTGTTCGGGTGCTGTCAGCCATGCTGAGGGGATATTGGAGTTTTTGGGTCTGCGCTCAAGTGTGCCATGGTTGGCAGGGTCTGGAAAGAGCTCTGGCGCTATTTCTGGCTGAGATTATTTAAGCAAAGGTAAATATCCTACTAAATGGCTCTTTGGTGAGGTAGATCCCACAGTCAAACTCCTCAGAGATGCCTGTAAGCTTAAAATACCTGTTTCCAGTAATTGGTATGTGGACAGTGTGGGCTGTTCATAACAGTGGGAATGAAGGCAATAGGCACACTGGGCTCCAAAACACTGCTGCTGTGTGCTGAGCAGGACCAGAAATAGTCAGGTAAGACAAGATATTAAATGCTGCCTGTAGCCCCTTGCCTCATTGCCAGCATCATTTTTGCAGCCCTGTGGTTCAGGGTTTTTGAGTAATACAGAATCTTTTTCTTACATCTCATAGCTTGAATTCTGGACCACTCTCTCCTGCTCAGTTTGCTTTTTCCCATTCTGACTTCTCAGCCTGATCTAACTTGAGGGTTGGCTCTGCTTTGGGCAGGATATTGGTCCTGAGACCTCCAAAGTCCCACTGACATATATTATTCTGTGATTCTGATTTTTACTGGTCCTCCAATTGGTTGAGACGACTATTCACAAGACCACCCTTCTTTCCTCCTCCACCCAAAGCTGCTGGCATGTTCCACTTCCTCAGATTAAAATGTTTCCTTTCAGTGTGCAGTGTTTGTTAAGCCATTTCCCTCTTTCCCTAATTTTGCACTTTTTTGGAACCACCTCTTTACATAAATGCAAGACCAAACTAGTTCTTTTGAGCTCTGGCTAATCCATCATTCCGAACTGTTTCTGCATACACAGACTGCTATTAAGATTTAATTAACAACCGTTCTGCTGAAGCTTCAGTCCTGGTCAGCAGTATTGAAACTGCATTAAATAGAAGCATTAAAAATTCAACAGTATTCATGATAGCAGCTTTGTAATATGAACCACCGCTTTGTATGTATGGTTTAGCATCATAATAAATCTAGAAGCTCCTATGTTGGGATCATGTGTTCACCTGAGCTGTTATTGCTGTTTGCCTTCTCTGATGACACTTCAAAGTCCTGGGGGTAAGAGCTGTCAACGGCAACACAGCCGCTGTGTGGCATGGGACATGCTGCCATCTCCACACAGTGTGCATCATCCTTCTCTCTTTTTCTGTTTTCTTCCTGATGTCATCCTCGAGGCTGTCAGCAGCACCTCAGGGGCACTGATATTGCAGAATTTTACCTGCTTTGTGTCAAACATACCCTTCTGTCAGAAGATACCTACCTCAAGGACTATTTTGCACTTTTTTCCCCAGGCCCCATTAGCAGTATTTTAGTAAACCGCTATGGCAGCCGGCCCGTGGTGATATTTGGAGGCCTGCTGTGTGGTATTGGGATGGTCTCAGCCGCCTTCTGCACCAGCATCCTGCAGCTCTACATCTGCGTGGGCTTCATTACAGGTAAGAAGAAAGCATCTCCTTTCCACCCACACTTGAGGATCACTTCTGATGCCTTCGAGCATCCACACTTGGGCACCTCAGCCAAACGCAATGGGAAGCTGGTGAGATAAAAAGCTGGTAGGACGAGGGCCCTTGCTTATTAACTGTTCCAGATGAACTTTAGCAAAGAGCATATCCCCTGCTAAGAGCTGTGTTCCTGGCTGAACATTACATGCAGGATCTTAGCAGGGGATGTGCTCTTTGCAGATGAATGCTCCCAATGGTGAGGATGGCCATCAGTGCCCTCAGCTCCTGCTGCAGTGAACGCAGGTTGACTTTACTCTGCCCTGGGCAAGGCAAGTCCTTTGAGATACAAAGTGATTCTATGAAGAAAGCACCTGTGTTCCTGTATTACTGTGTGTTATCTTCCCTCTGCAAGATACCTGAAATGAGATTTCAGGGGTTTGCTTTAGTTTACTTGCCCTTTGCCTGCTTGTAAGTTTAGGAGGCCCTTTATCTGAAAATAATAACTACTGGAGTTGATTGAAAATATGCAATATTCTCCCTATTGAGAAAAAACCAAAACTATATTTCCTTATTGAAGTTACAATTTGAATTGTCTGTATTAAAATATTAATTCCCATATTGGAAACTCAAACAGAAGGCATAGGCTAAGTCCAGCATCTTTATAGCCTGCAGTTGCTGGGTTATTGTTTTTAAAGGTAGATGGAGTTCCCCACCTGTGTGAGTAGAGCTGCTTAATTGTAAGCATTTTTGTTTGATTATTTTGTCTAAGGTACAGCCAGTGTTCATTCCAGTGCGGCTAGGACATCTGACACAATGAGTTCAAAATTAGCTTTTGAGGTTGCAAGGTGGTATGTTTTAATGAATGTTCCCTAATTCTCTTCAGCCACATTAAGCGTTGCTGCTTTCTGAACATGAAAAGTGCGAGCTCAACATTTAAGATCATAAAATCACCCACTAGCAAAGTGAATTGGGACAAAAAGTTCGTCACCCTGTTCTCCTACACCAATATTGCTTCATTAAATCTGTACAGTAGTGAATAAGTCCCCATGAAGGATTCTCTTTCCCTCTCTTAAACCTTACTCTTTCTAAGGGGAGTCACTGTAGTTAGATGAAACTGTGTTATTACTGAATGAATACATTTTGCAGATTCCTTGAAAGACATTCCAGAAACAAAGCAATGAGAAATGAAAGTAACCAATCTCTCCCATGGATAAATTCAATATTTATCAATGCATGAGCTTGCATCATTCCCTGCTAAACAAATGTCCTCTAGCAAGTTGATTAACACTGGATTAGCACATGGAAACTGTAAATCCTTTGCTAAAAATATGTGCATTTTGGTGAGCAGAAGGGCTCAGGCAAGGAAGGAACAGTGCTGTAGGAAGGCACCAACTCCTATTTTCAGAGGTACTTTTCTAAAAACACACTGACAGGGAATTATGTGCCTAACCCCAGTGGGCCTAGGATTATGAAGACCCTGCTCTTTTTTACTCCCTAATATCTTTGCAAATCTGGTCCATTGCCCTCCCCAGAGAGCTGATAGCATGAGCTGTGCTGAAGGCACACACGTAACCCTCATCCCAGCAACAGGGTACAGGAGCAAACTGCCTCCATATCTCATCTTTAATGCTGTGATGTTTCCTCAGAGCAAAGCACATTTTTTTTTGTTGTGTACATCTTTTCCTCCTGCTTGCTGAATGAGGGCAGCTCTATGGATGAGGTCTTAGCTAATAACCCATCATTTCCAGGCATGGTGTGTGTGCTGGGGAAGGAATATTAATTTGACAGAGAAGGGAAGATGCTTGTAATGCTGCTAACATGCTTGATGCCTCTAATTACGCTTGAAGTGCTTTCACTGGTCAGGCCTAACATGGAAGCGTTCAAGGGCAATTATGAAGCTGCCAGCTCATCATGTGGCTGAGACAGCATTACTGTACGAGGAGAGAGACTTTTGTAAAGGCGATTTGCAATGACTGTAAAGCAACCTGTAAACATCACCCTCTTTCTTAGCCCCCTTCCTACCAGCCCGGAAAGGAAACAGACTGATGTAAAAGACCGTGTTCATGTAATTTTCAGGGATGCAGATAAAAACAAGATAGTTGGTACTAGGAGGTCTCTGCTACAGTCCTGTGCCTTTGGCATATTAATAGAAATTTCTTCAGAGGAGGAGAGCAGGAAGTATCTGTTTACGGTGGAGGGATTAGACATAGCAATCTCAATTGCTTTCTTGATTATGTCTCTTCCATTTGCATGCAGAGCAGGGACCGGGCTCCACTGTCAGAGACAGCTCTGTCCTTGATGGCACCGAGCTGTGGGCTGCACGAGGCACTTTGTGTACGCTGTAAAACCCGTGTTCTCTTCCTCACTTGTTTCCCTATAGCGCTTAGAAAAAGAAATGGGGTTTGCAAGCTGTCGATCTGGATAGATGCCAGCTTGGATGCATTAAATAGGTGTTTAGACATGCAACCTCTTCTTCAAGTCGAGGTAGAAGCAGCAAATTTCAAAGCTAAATACAAGGCAATAACAACTGGTCAGAATTTGGTCCAATCTGTACCAATTAGACTGTTATGAACTAAATTGGGATCTAGGGTGAAGCGTGTTGACTAGTAAGACTAGAATTTTTGCCTCAGCTGTAAATACTGAGCATTGAAACACCTGGTGGGATCTTCACTTGCTAATAAAGTAAGAACAAGATCAATAACTACACAGTTGACTCCTGTAGCACCACTTACTTCCTTTGAGGGAGATGTATTTAATCTAGGGAAGGGTACTCGTTCTGGCACAGGCTTCCTTCTGTTCACGCAACACCACCGATAGGCCTCTTGTCATATCCCTGGGGAGAAAATGTGGTTATTTAAGTAACAATTTCAACCATGGAAAAGCTGTTGTAGTTTCTGAAAACTGGAATAAAATGGATATAAATATTTCCAACTAAAGTCAGCCAAAAGCTTAAAGTAAATTGAAATTCCAGTCAGTCAATTTGAAACTCTCCAGATTTAATTAATGGGAAGAGCATGAGGTAATATTAAATTAGATTTGTCTGACTGGCAAATTAATGTTCCCATAATAAAAAATTTGAGTTGATTATTGTTTAAGTGGGTAGCTGGCATACAGTCTGATTTTCCTTCTCTGCACGGCGTGTGGTAGGTCCCTAACAAAAATAATTCTGTGGAAACAATGGACCAATTTCTGCCCTTGCCCACCAGCCTGGGAAATACGGAGTTAAAGTCTAATCCACTGTGTTACAGCTTCTCGGCTGAAAGAAGACACATTCCTATATTTGAGTGCTGTCAAGATTGTTCTCTAACCAAGGCTGAGTTTTGCCTCCATAGTTCTCAGGTCAGCCCTCTCATGGGGATGAATTTGGCCCCTTATGCATTATGAGCAGGTTGTACTTCCCAAAGACGTGCCCTACCAAATACACAAACTATCTAGAAAACTTCATGCCGAGAATGTGTTTCATATTAGGCTAATTTTTATATGTTGTCATTGCAATTTATTTTTAATGTTGTAAACTTCCAAGAAATTTTTTTAAAAAAATAAATCTTAGACTTGGCAAAAATCACAATTTTGTTCAACATCAGTTGAATTCTGCTGCATCGGTTGGATTCTAATCAGCGACTAATGATAGTGTTCCTTAATTAATTTTGAGGACCTTGACCTTTCTAAATTCTCTTCTGTAAAGCAATATGCCTAATTATGTACTGCACAGTTAAACAAACTAATTATATAGACTAATGAACAAGAAAAAATCTGCATGACCCTATTTTCAGGATTCATGTTCTCTGATATAATCACTTCAAGGATTACATTTTGCTTTGTTCTAATGTGGCTCATTCTTTCCTGGATGATAGGGTGGAAAGTATGTGGCATGATTTTTAAATGTCATTTTGATGGAGTTCTGAAAATTTAACTTTTTAAGGAAATACTGTGCACCATAGAAATGTTTGAGAAGAAGAGATTATTATATGCTAGTGCTCTCAGAGCCACAGACGGCTGAGACCATCACAGCATTCCGTATGTCTGCCTTCAGCTTTCACCTGCGCAAGAGAAGCTGGCTAACTGAATTAGCAATGCAGATTTATAATACCATTTATATATCTAAAACCAATAAAAATAAATTTTAATTAAAAGAAACACTCTAGGGTCCTGTTTAATTAGCATCCTCAGTAGCTGTTTTGCTGTGTACTTGCAGACCTCCTAATCTTTTGCATCAGACCTGAATTGCTCACAGCACCAAATTAGTAGCGGTTGAGAAGGGTGATGTTATTTTCTGTGCAGGTCTGTCTGCCCGGCAGCAGTGTTGGGTGCTCACCGCCCGTGGAAGGGGGAGCCAGCCCCCACTGCATGTGAGAAGGATGTGCTTTGGTGGTTAGCCCTGTCTAAGCCAGAACAACCTTCCTCAAACTGGGAGTTGTCATTTTTTTAAAATAGATTCATCCTCTCCTCCAACAAAGCTGCTGTGTCTGGACGAGACCAGCCAGCATTCATCGAGGGTGTAGTTTCAATTTATTCTGCAGCAAACTCTTTGTGCTAGGTTCGCCGCCAAAGAGATTTGCAGAGCAAAAGGAAGAGACGTTCTCTGACTGAAAGTGTCTTTTTGGGGTCTAGTTACTCAAATGTGGCAGCCAGAAGCTCAGGGATATCTTGAGCAAAGTTTGCATCCAGACTATCATATTGAAGACCCACCAGTGGACCAATTGTCCATGAATTTGCCTTAAACAACGAGCTCAGAATAAATGGGTCTCAAATCTTCCTTTGTGTATCATCACAACTGTTTTTCTCCGTTCCAGGATTCGGCCTTGCTCTCAACCTCCAGCCATCAGTGATAATCATAGGGAAATACTTTTTGAAGAGGAGACCTATCGCAAATGGCCTTGCTATGGCAGGGAGCCCTGTGATGCTTTGCACTCTGGCTCCTCTCAACCAGTTCCTTTTTGACAATTTTGGTTGGAGAGGCAGCTTTTTAATTCTTGGGGCAATTTTATTAAACTGCTGTGTGGCAGGAGCACTCTTCAGACCAATCGGGCCAGCCACAGTATCAGTCAAAACCCAGATGACTGAGGAAGGGAAGGGTGCTCTGAAAGAAGAGGTCACTGAAGATGCCATGGAAATGAGCAGTCCCACAGATGTCCCCATGGAGAACAAAACAGAAGAGGAAGGGGGAAAGGACTGTTGTGAAAAAATCAACCAGTACCTCGATTTTTCCCTCTTTAAGCACAGAGGGTTCTTAATTTACCTGATTGGAAATGTGCTCATGTTCCTGGGGTTTTTTGCCCCTATTGTTTTTCTGGCACCCTACGCAAAGCACATTGGCATTGATGAATATTCAGCTGCTTTCCTCCTTTCAATCCTTGCCATCGTGGACATGATTGCCCGACCTACCACTGGCATCATTGCAAACAGCAAGTGGGTGAGGCCGCGGATTCAATACTTTTTCAGCTTCTCCATTGCTTTCAATGGCACCTGCCACCTTCTGTGCCCGCTGGCTTCTGGCTACACAGGGCTCGTTGTCTACTCCATCTTTTTTGGCTTGGCTTTTGGCATGGTTTGTGCCATGCTCTTCGAAACGCTTATGGACCTCGTGGGAGCCGCCCGCTTTACAAGCGCTGTTGGCCTGGTCACCATTGCAGAGTGCTGTACAATATTGCTGGGACCACCTATTGGAGGTGAGTGTATGTTCTTCCTCTGCTTCCACTGGGTTGTCACTTTTATTTAGACTGTTGCAAGTACAGTTTGTAAGAAGTGGTTCTAAATGTGTTTTCTCTGCTTCCTACCAACCGTTTTCCACCAGTAATTGGACAGGGAAGGCAAGTCCTAGATATCTTCTCCAGCATTTCCTCTTTACTCCTTTCTGTCTGGTCCTCCATTTGATGTCAACAGTTTGGAGAGTGGTCTTTTCATCCCTGATCCTGTCAAACACATGAACTGAACTTGAACTTTCTACATCCCTAAGAATCTTGCACTTTAGACAACTCCTGGAGATTCCTGCTGTTGCAAAAGGCTGGAGCCCACCACAATTTAAGCCCTGTAAAACACAAAGAGTTCTATGAAATCCTCTTGTTGACTCAAACCTAAGCCTTGCTATTTGTCGCCGAGGCTCTGAGTACTTCCACTTGTGCATTTCAGTCATCTTACTGCATCTGATAGATTTAAGGCTGTTCTGAAAGTAAAAGGTTTATTTTGGACGGCATAGTTTGAAAGGCAGAGACCCTCAGAGGTCCATGCTGACAATACTGAACCTCCAGCAGGGCTTACAGTCATCTGAAGGTAGGCAGGAGCAGTGATCTCGGATTTTAACAGCCTCATCTTCTTTGTCTCTATTAGCATGTGCTCACTTCTTTTTCTACAAGGAACACACCATGTCTGAAGACCCCATACTTGTATCTGGCATTTGGCTCAAGTGCAGTCCTTATCAAATCTGAGTCAGCTATGAATTAAATGACTTTATAGGTGACATCCTCTCAGCGCACAGACGCCATCCTGTCTATGTGCCCTGTCCTGCAATTTGCATTTCACCTATACGCAAGCTTGAATAACTGGTTTGGAAACTGGTCACCTCTAAGTGTGCTAAAATATTTAATTGGGTTGTGTGTGCTGTCTGTGTTTGGATGTATAAACACTAAACTCTGCTGCTTCTTTTGATGTGACAGTATCGTGATAAATGTAAAGAATGCACAGAAAGAAGGCAGTTTAAACCCATTTCCTGGATTCAAAACTGAGATCTGGCTGATAGTCTGTACGACAAGTATTGCAGAGCCATTTAATCCTTCGTATTGCCATGTAGCTCATACGGTGTGACAGAAGCAGCTGTATCCTCTTGCTGCCTTAGAGATTCATTATTTAATTAATGGCAAACAAAAGAAAATACAATTTTAAAATGACCGTTTTCTGAATTATAAAATTTTCTGTGTGGAAGATTAAGTTAATGACCAGAGACTGCTAATGAGGCTAAACAGTTCTATGTAATAAACAGTAATATTAGTTTTGTAGGGTTTTCCCCACCATTTTAATAAGCAGCAAATTTATTGGTTCTTTGGCATTTTAATAACCTGCTGCAGTGTTCTGCTTTAATGAACTAAGTAAATTGTTCCCAGTGTGTTTTATGACTTTATCTTATTCTCAAAGGAAAAGAAGCAAGACTATCCTACTGTTGAATTTTCCAATACTCTACTCATTAAAACTCTCATTGAAACCTATTTAGGAGACCTCTAGGTCATCCTGATTAGCAGAAAAGGAAAATTGTTGCAATTAGCATTTGGTTGATGTCTCACCAGTAACATGAAAAACACAGTGCGTTGAAAATGGTGTACCAAGACATCTAGGAATGAATCAGGACGAACCATTGACCAAAACCAGTTAAAAATTAATAATTTTGTGATCAAGAAATCTATTTGGTGAACATAAAATCCCTTGTTAGTGTAATACAGTTGGATAATTAATCATCAGCTTTTCAACATTAGGGGTCAGTCAGGAAGTAATTAAAGGTCCCTGTTTCTAAGGAGGAGAACATACTCCAGACAGTCAGAGAGCTAACGGATGATGGGCCAGTTTCAAGGAGGACTGTCTGTACTCTGAAGGCCAGGTTAGGAGTGGGTGTTACTTTAATTAGGATTTGGGATGTTAAGAATGGTCTGTGTTGCACCAGTAAATGGGAATTAATGCTCAGGATCATAATCCCAATAAGATTTGCATTACATTTTGACATAATGGAGAACACTGACATTTCAATTAAGCCATCTCCCTTCAATTACTCTGTAACTCTGTAGCAGAGGCATTAACCTTTGAGAGGAACCTGTCACATTTGTCTTGGCATTGAAATTATCTGACATTGACAGCATCATCTTTGCTTTCCCTGGAACTAATGTTTTCCAGTTCCACGCAGTGCCCTTTCATCTTTAGATCATGAGTATAAATGCAGAAAGGGCAGCTGTGACCAAAAGCTGAGTCCTCTGTAATGCTGGGGAACGACCCGTGGTGAAATAAGTTGGAGGGTCTTTGTCAAGAGTCTGAGATGATATCCAGTGGCCAGGTGCCTCCTCATGAAGCTCTTCCCAAAGGCTGCTGCTTTGCTGGCAGCCTGAGGACTACGGAGTCACACAGACATCCTTGTGGGTGATCACTGGAGTCAATGGAAAGGCTGTTCACAGACTCTGTGGTCAGAGGACTTAGATTCTGCGTGGAAAATATAGGTGTGCCTCAAAAGTCCGGACTTCCCAATGTAGGTTCTCTGTCCCCTTCTACCTAATTTACAAATTATCCCTAATGCTACCTGTATCACCGTTAACTACCCACAGCCTATATAGTGGAACGTGTGAAATATTTGCAGGCTCAGAGTATTTGTGGAAGAGATCAGAAGTCCAGAGAATGTCTTATTTTATTCTAAAGCCACAAGGGTGTCCTTTTATATTTAGGATCTCAAAACACAATATTCTTGCCTTCACCTGTAAGTTTCTTTTTTTTTTTTTTTTTTTAAAATTATATGTTTTACAGGAACTCTTATCGATACCTTTGGGGACTATAAATATATGTTCATTAAATGTGGAGCTGTGATGGTCCTGGCAGGAACCTTCCTGTTCATCATGAATTATTATAATTATCGTATGCTTGCCAAGGAGGAGAAGGAAAGAAAGGTAAAAGGGGATCCAAAAGAGGATCCTGTAAGGACAGAAAATGAAGGCAAAAATAACTGGAACAAAGAAACTGCACAGGATGGGCCTGAGCTGGAACCTTTGAGAGAGGAACGAGAAGGACTAAAGAAGGAAGTGAACGGCACAAATGAAGTTTAAACCTGTTCTCATGGGCTGAACGGGAAATCGCTTCTGGGTTGCTTAAGTGGACACCAGCTGTGAAATCACACTAGGTTTTTAAATTTTACTCTGTGCTCTGGCATGTGCATCCTCTTCTTTGTTGTAGGAGAAGACTAGAACAGAAACAAGTCTGGTTTCTTATAAAGTGCTGGGACACAGTGCGGTATCATTTGCGTACCAAAGGTCCTGCAACATTTTTCTTTAGGTATTTCCCGTTTCCCAGAGGGGCTGAGTAAGGATGTAACTGACATCCCCCTTTTATTCCCTGTACTACAGATTTACTCTGTGAAAAGGCCAGCGGCCACCAGAGTCAATGCAGAGCCCTTCCAGCAGCCTGAACAGGCTTTGCATTGAGTACTGTGGTGGCTGGGTCTTCTTGCCATACAGTCAAAACTCTTCAATTCTCTTTGCAGTGTCAGAATTATCCCAGGGATTTGGTGCTGCCTTCCACTGGCAGCTGCACTGTGCCTTGCACCTCTATTTCATGGAAATGTAAAATGGACTTTACACGCATCTTAAATACAGCATGAGACTGCTGCTTTGACAGAACAAGGGCTGTACATGCCCGTGTGTGAAGTGGCAGCCTGGCCTTGTGGCATGCTAGGAAAGAACTAACTTGGGGTGGCTCATCATGGCTTGACCAGAGACTTTCTCAGGGACCTCTGCATTTACCAAAATGCCTTGAGAAAGGTGACGTTATGCAGGGGGCCAGCACAAGGCTGACATGCTACAGGAGTCCTTCCTCCAGGTCCCCTGTCTGTGCAGGGCAGAAATTCAGTCTTAAAAGGCTTAAATTTTGATCTACATTCAAACAGTGCAAACTCTTTTAAAATTTTCCCTAGAAGGTTACAAAGTCCTGATTATCCAATATCTGAGTGCCTTACCATTTTTAGCGTGCTTTTTCTTTACAATACCCCAGTGAGGCAGTAAGTGTTCTTACTAGTAATTAATTGTACAAATGAAGAACTGAAGCACAGAGGAGCTGTGAGTATCATCGCATCAGTGAATAAAGCTTAGGCATGCCAGAGCTGAAATGGGATCCACTGCTGTGAGTTAGGTGCCTGAAAGCCCTGCTGAGCACAGGTATCCCCCTGCTAGAAAATAAGAAATACCATGGATAGTCACGCATTAAACCACAGCCCTCTCTGCAGTGCAGCCTGGTTACTTTGTGCTTCGTAATACTCAGGATTAATGATGTTAAAGACTGTCTTAGAGCTGTGACCTTGTGCCATATTTTTTTTTAACACGGTTAAGTTCCATCCATCCTGGAGGGAGTCCAAACACAGCAGCCTGCCCCTTGTTTGGGCTGGGTCAGGCACCACCCTGTTGCTAGCACTTCAGTACCTGGTGGCCTCATGCCATCCCGTTGCATGAAATAAAGCTTCCGAGGTCAGTGATGCAGAGCTGGAGCTGAGGCCACGTAGGAGGCTCTCATCCAGTGGGGATAATTTTGAACTGGGAAGACCTGGACCAAGCACTGATGTATTTTATAATAAGCAGCTGTTGCCCAAGAGCCATGGATGCTGAGCATGGCATCATGTAGTTGAATCATCAGCCTTTTGTGGATTTAGCTCCACGTGAGTAGATAAAAACAAGGACTTTTCAGGCAGATCACCCAAATCCAAGGGTAACACCAGTCCAAAGTCCAATCCTTATTCAATGGTACCTTTATGTGATGAGATAGTATTTTTTCATGACTTTGTCACTGAAGAACTGTATTTAATTATCAGTTGTGCACACAATATGAAGAATGTCTTGTAAAAATACTTTCGTAAATACACTATATGCTTAAATTTCCATCACTTCTACCTTCTTGTACGAAACCTTCTCTGTGAAGCCTTTTGTTCCACTAAAGAATAATGGTCTTTGGCCATTGAGTTCAGTAGGACTTAAATTTTATCCTTATGTAGTATTTTATACTTTCTCTGAAAAACAAAATCTATACCATATACTTAGGCCTTGTTGTGGTTTTAATACTCATTATTTCTGTCAAATATATCTATTGTATTTCAGTAAAAAAGGCATTGATAGAAGGTCCTGAACATTTTCCAATATGCCTTCTAAAAGCTTTCATATACTGAATAAAACTTTAAAAAAAGAATGAAATGAGTTTACATTTGCCTGCTGTGATCTGTAGGGTAATGCTGCCTTTCTGTTCAGTAAGGAGTTTATCCTTACAGGGTTTCTAGCCTGGCTCCATGTACGTGGCAATACAGCTCTTGGTCGTAGCCTCTGATTCCAGGAGCACTGCGGGGAGCTCCTTGCCACAGTTTCTTTGACATTTTCAGTGATCTGGGCCAGCCTGACTCACACCTCCAGTTCTGTGGGCCCATGAGTCTGAAAGCAGCTGAGAATGATGTGGCAAGGATCAGACAAGACAATTTTCATATCTTCCCACCAGGTTGGATCAATTAATTTTATGACCAATGACCCAGATCCCCAGCTGTCCTTACTGCAGGAGCTGATGCTAAGGCTTTTTGTCTAGCAGAAAGCCAAAGCAAGCCTTTTAGATCATTAAATTGTTTTTTTAATACAGATAACATTTTCAATAAAAGGGCTTTCTGTTCAGCTATCTGTGAAAATCCTCTGGAAGAGAGACACCTTTGTTAACCTGTCCCTGAGGGCAAAAAGTGCTACATTGGATAAGTAGTTCTTTGAGGCTTCAGAAGTCTTCTAAAATTAAGTAGCCACTTCATTTAACCTACTCAACCTCCTGTCATAGAAACATATACTGTCATTCAGATTATGGCACTATTTCCATCACGTAGGAAGCCAGACTGTTTTAATACAAATTTGGCAATTATAGCTGGTTTTCAGTGGCAGGTGGCCTGCCTCTTCCCTGTTACCCTGCCTCCTGCCCCCTCTGTAGGTTCAGACATTTCACTAATCATTGCAGCAAAACAATGCCAAATAACTGTACTTCTAAGCATATAAGTAGTCCTAGAGATACTTAACTGAGTCAAATCCCATGAAGTCAACACCTTGCAGACTCAAGCTATAATCCAGGCTTGGAAAACTCAAACTTTCCTAACATCTTAAGTTATTAAAAATTACTTGTGCAATATGAAATATCCATTAGAAAAAGCTCTCGTGAAAGAGTAGAAGCTGCCTGTGCATCTAATTTAGTAATTTGTGTGACAAATTGAACAAAATATTCATATTTACATATATGCTTAAGTCTGGAAAGCACCTGTGTAAAGTCAAGAGATGTGAGTGTTGTACCGTAAACAAATGTACTAGGCACATGGGGCATATCTGGGATATCAGACGTGAAAGGATGATTGCTAACACTTTCACCGGGGTGCCATTGTTAGACATCTTTTGTATTTCATTAGCTTGTGACCTTATCAGAAACAATTGGCCATTGTTTCCAAGGTTGCTTGAACTTCTACAGAGCCTGATTTTGATGCTGAACCATCACTCCCAACAACCATAACAGAAGCCAACAGGCAACGCCACAGCACTCCCCTTCAGACGTGTTCTGCTGGTGAGGCACGAGTGGTGTTTCAGGGGAGCCGTGACAAGTACCACTGATTGGGTTTAGATTTATCCCACACACTCATTTCTTATTTATAGTTCCCCTCAATTCCAAATGTAAAGGCATAGAGGAGGAATTAAAATATTTTAATGCTTACTTGAAGTGGCAAAATTTGTACACCTTCCTAGCTTCCTTTTTAACAGAATGATAAAGCAGTGACTGTGCCACGTGCTGGAGTGTCATGCTACTAGAAGGGGACATTTTCTGCCAACACGCATTGTGCCAGGTGCTGCTTTGCCACACATAGCCTAGTCTTGGCCTGGGAAAGGAGTAACTTGGATTTCCCTGGGAGCAGGACTGATGAGCAAGGCTGGGGGACACAGCTCTGCAAGGTCAGCTGTAGATTTGAGCTCATCACAAAGAAGAGCTTTGGTGCTTTTTATTTTATACTGTTAATGGAAGCCTTCAGCGGGGTGATAGCCAAGAGGACACCAGCATCCAGCACTTAAGGAACAGAGTGTAAAACCAGGCTCTTTTGTGCAGTGAGCGCAGGAGGCTGCTCGCAACCATCACTGGTGTGTCTTTATGCTGCTCTGGGCAGTCCTTCACATTCAGCACACAGAGGAGCTCATGGCTGCGAAGAGGAAGGATGTTCACTGGCAATATGTGGAGAAATAGAGCACCATAGAATTGTCCTCCTTTTAATTAAAAAAAATAAACCATGTCCACAAAGTACAAAACTCATGAGAAGACCAGAGAAGTCTGGAACCACGAATGAGAAGTAACTTGGTAGTAACTGTGTTAAAAACAAGCAAGCCAGCAAGCAAACAAAAAAAAAAAAAATGAAGTGCCAACCTATATATTTGAAATATGCAATCATTTTAGACAACACAAGAGATTATTCAAAAGGACAGTTCCCGTGGCAGTTGACGCCAAATTTATTTGGCTGCCTTCAGAAAACGCGTGGTAGACAATACAGGCGCATTCAGATTGCATTGAGGAATGAATTTAGAAGACGACTTTCATGCCCTCTGCAGTGACAGTGACATTGACTATAAAATAGTACTATTTAGACTTATCAGAACCATGTGAGGGTGTTTTGATGAGTGACATTCATAACTGTCAGCAAAGCTTCCCATAATGGCAGTGCAGCTCAGAAACGAAGACTTGATTTGCCATCTGCTTTGGCACTCACTAAAGTATTGCTGTGCTTTTGTTTGTGTTTGGAGAGAGGCTCATTTACATTCTGACACACACAAAAAAAAAAAGAATATTAGAGGTAAATGGGATCTTCTATGTCACCACGGTCAAGACCCTGCTATCAGAGGTAATGGCATCACATAATTCCCTTGAACAAAACGCACAACCCATTGGCCCGCAGAGCCAAGCATCTGCCAAGGTGTGACCCTGCCGTGACATTTGTGCCTGCAACTTCGATGTGTCTGCAGAGGGTGAACCTCCACATATTTGACAGTGCAGGTTTCTGGAGGCTTAAACAGAAGCCTACATGGTGTAGGGTACCCAAGCTCTTAGCCCATCAATCGATCAGTTAGGGAGGATATTTATGCAAGGGAAAAATTATATGTCTCCTCCCTCAAAAAAAGCATACATTTGAGTGATATTTTAAAATAATATTTCTTTTTTTAGTATTTATTTGTTTATATGTTAGTGCTTTCTAAAACATACTCTACACCTCTTCAAGTTTGGTATTACTGATTAATTTGGACTGAAGATGCTTCCTCTATTGACTTCCCTTTCTTTTCTCTTTTTAAACCACCTTATTCACACACACACACTTTACATTGCATTTGGCTGTCATAGTGTGCTGCTTTTATACTTTTTAAAAGGTGTTTTCTCCTATTCCAACATTTTGGAGACATTACAAAGTCATTTAAGAGTTGTAGATTATATTTTAGTCAGAAATTCAAGATTCAATTTTGCTGGACAGCCTAAGAAACCTGTTACAGTGCAAAACAGAGAGGGAAAGCTTCAGAGGAGCAGCACCATATCGCTTGCAGCAGGAACCGGGGAATTCACGGACAGTCTAGCACAGACACCAAGGTTTGTGCCCTCCAAATAGAACAGTCCCTCCCAGTGTTCAAAAAAAAAAAAAAAAAAAAAAAAAAAAAGGTAACTCAGTGAGAGATTTGGCCATAACTGTCCATGGCTGTCCCAGTCAGCTATCTTTTTGTAAACTGAACACTGCAAAGGACCCTCTCTTCAGAGACTGCATGCCCAGCACTGCAGAAAATGCTTCTCTGCAAAGACTTGTTAAAATCACACCAGAAGCTGGCATTTAGCTGAATTAGTGTTTCCCAACCAATGCTGTGGCACAGGCTAGAGGCAGTCCCAGCAGGCCAGCATAGAGTTTAAAGCCTTTTGATGAACACAGATCTGGTTTATGTCTGTCTTCTTAAGGCATACATGCAGATTTTAGGAGGGATAAGGATATATATCTATTGCTACAAAGGCAGATAAGAAGTATCTTATGATGGAAAGGATGTCCTCAGTGTACTCACAGGTCAGAGTCCTGCACTGTGCCCCTAGGAGCCAAAGTCTGAATTCAGACTAACCATCTGATAGTTCTAATGGTACTGCCAAGCTGCCTCAGCTGGTACTGCCCATCATCACACCGTGATCATCTCCGAATGGTCCATTTTCCACTACCAGCTCCCCAGCTCATGAATTTGTCATTTTTCACACCAGACTAAATGCATGGGAAAAGCAACACAGAGAAACACGGACTTCTCTTAGGCTTGCCTGAGTTTTTAGACCTCTGTCTGCTCAGTGCAAAGATGTCCCAACAAAATGAGGCGCATGAAGAAGTTCCCATCTTCTGTAGGAACACTGCTGTGTTGGATAAGCATCAAACAAGAGCGTGCTTCTACGCTTTCCTGATCAAATCCATCAGCTTCTGAGGAGGGGAAGATAACCATTCACTGAAAATGTCAGCTTCAATGTCTAACTCTGACTAAACTCAGACACGTTGGATTCCTTATGTATCCTGGATTCCCTTTGATGTGTAAAGCAGGGTCGTTCGGCACCTGCTGCTAGTGACAGATGAACTGGTACAACTGAAATGAAATAGGGACAAGCACTTCCCTCGTACTACAGGCCTTGGCTTTCTTTTTCTAGACAGATGAGATTTTTAAGTAGTTTTTAATCAGTTTGTAATCAGTCCCGTCCATTAGTTATGCCATCTGATCAGAAAACATAAATCCAGAGAGAGATATCCTGAGGATATCTAGGAGGATCCATGCATTATTAAGTGAAAAAACCACAGACTACCCATCACCCCTTAATACTACGTCTAAGAAGTGCTTGTTGGGCAAACTTGCCAAGCCTAATTATTCTCCCAGCAGACTATGGGGCTTGTTTGGCACTTCTACAAGTCTAACAGAAACCACAGCAGGCCTGCTCCTGCAGAGGCAGTGTGGGGAAGAAAATCTCTCTGACGTGCTTCAGACCTCCGAGATAGTCCCTACCTCGTGTGCACATGCACACA